ACAAATTTGAAGGAAGCTGAAGACAGCTCTTTGTCTTAAATATCAAATCTTCCCAAAATTGCTTTTAGAAGATCTGTTTCAGTCAATGAGCATTTCTTTGCACTTTCCTCCCCTGTAGAAACCTGAAATTGGAAATGATTAGTGTTCTTCTGGATTCAAGTTTGTTCCTTAAAGGGGTGTGTGGGAGACAAAATGAAACACTGTAACACTTTTATTTACATGTACACATACTAATCTTGTAATGTGTTCTTTTTCTCTTTTTCTTTTTAATCTTTTGCTAAGGGTATGTGTTTTTGAATGAAATCTGTTTATTTGGTTGGAACACACATTTTGTGCCAAAGTAAATATCTTATTATTTAATACTGTAAGCACTTTGGTGTGTCCTTCCAATTGATATGTCCTAATTCTTTCAAAATGTGGGAAGAATGCTGTGATTGGAAGCTCACTCTGTTGTTTGTTACTATGAATGCATTAGCCATTTTATTGCATTATTTGTTGCCGTTTGCTCACTGAGCAATGGATCAGTTCAAAATGTTTAAACTGTTCCCACCTTGGCAGTGGCATGTTGTCACAGCATCCGAATTGTTGCTAGTCTCTGGATTGCATTAAATGCAGCACCTTTAAAAACATGTCTGATCTTGTCAGTATGTTTCTTTTCTGTTTTCTTGTTCAGTGTTTTCCATTGTGAAACGATTGTAACCATCACACATTTCTTGTAATGTGAAATTGCTTCTCATTCTGTTTGTCCTGATGTCTCTCTGTTGGATACTAATTAATATGTTCTTTAATGAGATAATTTGTGTAATTGTTACCTTTTATTAACATATCTGTAAGTTCCCTTTCAACATTTCTCCCTGTGCTCTCCTTCTCTCATAGATTCATGGTTAATGTGCACCAGATCATGGTTATGTATCTTCAACACTGTCACAAAATTTACAAGCTAATAAGCCCAGCAATGATTGTTCTTATTAAGGAGACTCAAAGGTGTTGGTAATATTATTTGGTATTTCCCTCTTAATCAAAACTGAGCTCAGTTCTCACCTGAGGGTTAGAAAGCAAGATGTGATCCAAGTGAAATGTGAAACTCGGGCTGCAGAAGGTGGCCTTTGTTTCACTAGCTAAATTTTACATCTGTGACAGCTTTTATATGAACACTTAACAAAGAACAAATATGGGAGCGAAATCAGTTGTCATCTGCTGTGTTAAAGCCTCTTCTCTAAAAGATGAGGCTTAGTCTCAGAAACACGCAAGGGCAGCTCTACCCTGTCCTATAGGGTCACTGTGAGTCACAATCAATTAGATGGCAATGAGTTTGGTTCTGGTATTCACAGGAAAATAATAGTACAAATGTTTATATTTGGATTTAGAACATGACCTGTCTATTTCAATTTAGTAGTGATCTCTGGGATATAAGAATTCATAAAACATTGAACACACGTCCACTCTGCAAGGACTGACTTGGGAAGGTTGTGTGGCATTGCCAGGTTGCCCTGGCACTAGAGCCTCTCCCATCCTGCTCACAGGCTGCAGTTGAGGAGCAGGATCTTCCGGACTGACCTTTCTGTAGCAGAACTCCTGGAATGGGGAAGTGACTGAGTGCTTTGGTGTGAAGGGCAGACTGGACATAAAGCTGGTGGAAGAGTAAAGGAGTACAAGTTTTGATCAACAGAACACTTTTTCTTTGCCCTTACTAGTCACTATTGAGAGTCTCGTCGTGGATTGTGGAGAGGTGGCATGTTCTAAGAATCAGAATAGTGGAGGTACACTGACCTTGCCGTGCAGCCTGCTGGTACAGCTCCTGGGAAAACGCTCCCATACAGTAATGAGGAAGGTCTTTAATGTTTTACCTCCCTCTCTGTACCCTGACCCGTTTTTTTACTTTCTGGTGACCTCTGTGCTGACTCTAATCTTCCTCCTCCAATCTCCTCTGATGTTATGTATTTGCTTCCTCTTTATATTGTTTATTTTGGCGTATATAAGAGTGAGGTCCTAATTTATCACTGCAATATTTTAGAAGCACCATTATAAAGGAACTTCTAGGACACAGGTGGACAGGGACTGGACACCTCAGAGGAAGTTTTTAGGGATGAGATGGGACCCTTCTGGTATGTGACACTTGGGCTATAAGTATTCAATGTTCAGTGCTTGTCTGTCTGCCCTCTAAAACCTTCAGAGATGGCAGAGTGGGCAGTGGAGGCCGAGACAAAGCAACAGCCAGCCGAAGAAGAGCCTCTGTTCTGAGTGGGGCCCCATCTTCCTTATTTATAAGATGCAGTTGTTAGAAGTTAAACCAGTCTAAAATTCCAGCTTCCCGGGACCATTTAAAGTAGGGTATGCCTCACCTGTACTAAAGGGTGAGCTAGCCCTAATGAAATCTAAACTATGAACTGTTTCCAAAATAAGGGTTGTGGTGTTTAACTGCAGAAAAAATATTCTGTCAGAAACACTTAATAAATAAGTTTCATTTTCACGTAAAATTTGATTAAGTGGTAAGAGAAACATCCCAATCATATAGTTGGTAATGTAAGTACATATATTTGCTTGTTTTCCTTTACAAAAAAACATAAAGAAAAACTTAACCACTGATGTGTGATAAAGGCTGGCCTATGTGGGGTTAGCCCATTTTTATGTCCTGACTGGAGTAACCTGGCTGGCTTGCTCACTGGGATAGAGTTGCAGCCTTCCTAACCCTGCTGTTGTATTAGACTGTCAAATTTTTCTTTGCCTGCTTTTCCTGCTGCTCAGTGTGAAACTCCTTTTCTCCTCTAACTCACTTACTGGAAAAAGTGACCCTTTTTATTAGAAACAGATGACAAAATGGTGACTTCTCTTTTTTTGTTGTTGTTTTGTTTTTTTAATTAACTCCAGCACAAAAAAACATTACTTTGAAGCAAGACAACTTTAAATATTCCTAATGAGTGTAAATTATTCTTATCCTCCTTAAAACAAAGAGGTTTGTATGTAATGTATTAGCTGACTAAACAGGCAGGGAGGGCCTGGTATACAAGTCTCACGAGAACCTTAACTTCCCGCCCATTGTAAGTTCAGCCTGCACACTCTCTTTTTCTTTGCCTTTAGTATGAAAAGACACAGACTGTACTCTCAGAACTGAAGTTGAAGTATGAAATGACTGAGCAGGAAAAGCAATCAATCACAGATGAGCTCAAACAGTGTAAAGACAACCTGAAGCTGCTCCGAGAGAAAGGAAATAATGTAAGTCTTTGCAAACGTGGCGTAGCCTTGGTTTCTGAAAGGCAAGTGAGGGCCCTAGAAACTTATTTTTTTCCAGAGAACTTTATTACTTGATTTGGGAAACTAAGGGCCTGTACTTTAAATGAACAAAATGTTTCCTTATGGACTTCCATGATGGAAATGCTATGGTGTCACATTCCAGAGTAAGAATTTATCCGTTTAGCCTGTACCCTTAGGAAACGTGGATGAATAGCCTTGTTGACACAGAAAACAGCTTATCTGAGAACTCTCGGCTTTCCTCAGAATTCTATCCTTGAACCACCTGACTCCTGTTTCTCCCCTGCTGGGAACAGAAGCACCAGAGACCCCCCTCCGCGAGAGGTGGCTCCTTACACTTGACTCGAAAAATGGAAAAGAAAAATGAAGACATTAATTCAGTGTTTTCCATTTTATACTAATGTATATACACTAAGGCATATTCCTAAAAGGCTCAGTGATTTTTTTTTTTTTTTGGCCTCCTCACAATGTTCGAAAGTATTTGGTGAGTTCCTTAAAGGTTTTTTTGAATGATAGGGAATTATAACATTTTGGTATAAATTGAGTTAATTTCCCGCCCCCCTCAATTTCAAGAAAGGCAGGTGTTCTTTAAAAAGATGTTATACTAAATAAATGTTGTGTTGTTTGTTTTGGTGATCATTGCCCCGTGGGTGCTAACCAATGATGTTCAGTGTGGTTGGTTGTGCTCGGCTTAGTTGGGTCCCTGTCATGGCTTGGACACTGCACTTGGAGTGTGAGCCGCGCACTCGGCTTAACGTGCATCACAAGTACAGAGGAATCATGTTGCATGGCCATCCGGTTACACTGTTGTTCACGGAATGCTCACGAGTTGCAACAAATGTTCTTCAATAAAGAAAGTCATTGTTTCTAGACAATAGAGACTTGTGGCTAAGGGAGAAGGCTTTTATTTGTTGACAAAATTTGGTGTGGAGTCTTTATGCTCAGCAAAAATGGATGATAATTATTTTTTTAATGGATGATAGAACTCTTCTGAAGGCACATCATAATGGCTAGATTACTTCTCTCGTGCATTAATTTGTAGCTCTCTGATTTTGAAATTTTAGCCTAATTCCTCCTAAATTATGATGAAGACATCTAGCATAATCAGAATAGATCCCTTGTTGGGACCATTTCAAAAGTAGCCTTGCTATTATTATTTTATAATTAAAAAATAATTCACCTGTGAGAGAAATTTCCTCATTTTATGAAGACTAAAAGATTACTCTGTAATAACTAATTATACTAATTCCCTTCCAGTTTTAAAATTTCATTGCATTTCAATAATGCAATTAAAAGCTCTGAAATTTAGCTATCAGTCTTCATACACGAAACATCTCTCCATTGTGTCGGGTCTCTTGCTGGTATAGGAAGTACGTCACCACCAAGTGTTTGTTTGATAACTTGAAAACAACACCTTCTGTCTCTTGGGCAAAAGAGTTTGGTTTACCAAAAAAAAAAAAGAAAGAAAGAAATTGTGCAAGAATGATAGGATAATCATTAGTTGTTGGGGTATGGAGCAAAGATAAAGTATCAAGAAGCAGAGCCTCAGATAGTGAAATCTTACTGCTCTGTCTTACTGTATGGCCCTCTGATTTTGGAATTTTATTTCATATTTTACTAGAGTATTAGGGGAACACCCACACTGCCCATTCCCCAGTGGTTTCTCTTAGGCTTCCGGACCACAGAGTCCATCATTCTGGATGGTGTTAGATGTCTCAGTGTACAACCTGAGTAGTAGTGTGTCTATTATCTCAACCTTCATCCCCTCCTTCCTGCCCTCCTGAGGTCTAAATCATTTTACATGAATTTTTTTAATAGCACAAAATGATTTTAATATCCCTTCCCTTCTTTAGCCTTCCATATTACAACCCGTCCCAGCCGTATTCATCGGCCTATTCCTGGCTTTCCTGTTTTGGTGTTTCGGTCCATTGTGGTAGAGAAAGGTACAAGCACTACTGTTAAGTCCTTGTCTGTTTGTCCCCGTCACTTGTTTGTGCCATATTTGTAATATAGTGCATGGCAAAACCACACAGGTATTTTGCTACCTGAAGCAAACCCTTCATTTAGTATGCCATGTATTGTGTCATTCCAGTGAACTACACAATTGACTAATCACATAACATTTTGTCTTGTTTCTTTTGTAGTAACGCTAACCATGGCTTAATTCCAACCTAACCAGTTGTTAAAATGTTTTCTTTAACCAATTCTTTGTCCCTAGCCAACTGGAGTAAACTATGAATTGCTGCAGTATTAGTATACTCCCTCCCAGTTACGTGTTTAATCAGATTTGAATGAGAAATGAAGAGTTTGCGTCTGTGAACTGTTTAGCCAGCTTTCCTCCCCACTTTCCCTCTTTCCTCTTCCTGTCCACAGTGTAGAGTCCCTTTGTTTACACTCTGGCTGTGAAGATGAAAACGTTGAGATTGGTTTAATGGGCTAGTGGCTCACAATCTCAACCCTGTGTGCACTTACTTGTGAGAGTATAAATCTATCTGCAATATCAGAATATGTCTTTAAAAACCAGCTTTCTCAGGAAGGCCCTCAGAACACCAATGAAATGAAGGCTGTCAGCCAAAACCATTGGATTAATGTTAAAAGACCTGCGGAAAGTTAACAGGGAGCAGCCTGTCCATGGCATTCGCCATGGTGCAGCCTGCGAGGCGATGGCTGGCTGTGGTGCACTGGCTTCACCAGAGTGTCAGACAGGCAGGGTCCCTTGTTGTGCTTCCCATCCGATTTGATCTCCACTGGTTTTAAATGAGAGGAGCAAAGCCTCTCGAGGGTTTTCTTATCCTTATCCACCCCCTCGAGTAAATAAACCTCTGAACATGTGAACCTGGGGCTTTCAGCAAGAAATAAGTGTTTGAGACAGGAAACAGGTCAGGGGTCTGTGGACATCAGTTATAGTGAAGAATATAGAGGAGCCAGTAAAGGAGGCCTGAACTGAGAGGGTTTCTAAGAAGTCACCACTAGATTTCACCCTTTCACAGAATTGCAGACAGCCTAGCTCTCCTGGGGTGTGTCAGCTTCACGCAGAATCCTCCAGAAGGTTCACGTATGGTGGCAGTACTCACACCTGCCCTCCCCACCTGTTTTCCTTTTCTCTTTAGAATCCTTTCTTCCTGGTGCAAAGATAGGATCACCCCTCCCCCCACCCACCAAATATGTCGTATATCCAGGGTTCTGGATCCACTGGGCTAGGATATATGGTAAGAGAGGGGAGAATGTGATATTGACTCTTGGTTTCTTTCCACACAGAAACCCTGGCCCTGGATGCCCATGTTGGCGGCCCTGGTGGCGGTGACAGCCATCGTGCTGTACGTGCCAGGTCTGGCCAGAGCTTCTCCGTGAGAGCGTTTCTTGAGTCCGTACACCGTCCTCCCTCTAGAAGCTGGCATCACACTCATGCTGGGGATGAAACAGAACCATTTTCTTCCTTTTTACCTCTTAAAACAGATGTGCAAGAATGCAACTGTAGGATCATTGCTTTAAATTATATAAAATGTATCTGTCTATAAAGAGGATATAAAATTGTGACTTTATCTTCTGTAAGCAATAATTTGCTTGCAATTTTTCATGTAATTTTTAAATTAGTATGTTGAGATTCTAAATATTATGGTGGCCTAAAGTAGGCTTCTTGGTACACCAAATTATTTATAACATTAAATTTATGGGTATTTTACTCTATATTCTGACGGTCAGACAGTTCGTTTTTCTGATTCGATAACTACCCAAAACCAAACAACCAATGCGTACCTGGGAGAGAGGCCCTGTGTGCTCAGTGCCTATCAGTTTGAAATATATACACATATATATATATATTTTTTACATAGCGTCATTTTTACTTATTATAAAACCACTGAGCTATTGGGAACAAGACTTAGAGACAATTATTTGTGTGGACTTTTTTTTTTTTAAGGAAAAATGCGTTTGGGAAATACTCTGTTCTACTGATAATTTGAGGAATATGTACACGCTTGTTCAGCCTTAATGTGACTTGAAGACGTGGAGGACATCAGCTTTGAAGAACTTTCCGTGAGAGTTGTGTATTTTCTTGAACAAACGCAAGTGTTTCTGGGAGCAAAACATAGTAATCACACAATTTCAGTGCAGTAAACCAAACTGTTGAGTCGATTGGAATGTCATTCATTAAACCTCATCTATTTAAAGAAATATTTTCTTTAAACGCCAAGTTACTTTCTCACATACAGCATTGTAGGAAGCATGCCTTTATTTTAATTTCTTTTCCTCTCATCTGTTCCTCCAAGCATGTTCAAATTGAAGAAAGACTCAATCTCTCTTTAGAAAAGCTTTTATTGACTTAATTTGGTTATGATGTGATGGAGCTAATTAATGTTCAAAATTAACTGTTGATACCTACCTATCTACCTACTACCTGCCAACAGATGTCCTCCTTGTGTATGCAAATGGTGATTTCCTTCTTTTTGCTGTTCACCAGGTCGGTCTGTTAGTGGGAAGCACTGTCCCCATGATTGGTTTTGTTGTGTGCACAGTGTAGCACCCAGACACACTGCCTGAAACTATAAACTTTTCAATCACAGAAGTGGGAATTTTGCTATGGTTTTGTGCAGCACCACGGTTACGTCAATAAAGTTCATTTAGGTCATAGAATAGCCTCACGGTTCCCACAGTGCAATCTGACAGTCAGTGAAGATGAGAGGAATGTTCTAACTTGAATGTTCTGTGGTAACCCACAGGTAGAGCCAAATACTGAAATAGGAGTGTAGGCTATAATTTACCTTGTGATGTTTGACAGTCATTGTTTAGATGCTAAAGTTTTATTTTCAGCTGTTTGGATTTGCTGTTGGGAAGATCACTAGGTTTGTGGAGGAATTAGTCACAAATGGCTTGTAGAAAATACTGTCATCTAGTCCATTTCATCATTTTCTGTTGCAGGAAGCCACTCCACCACAGAATGCTAATATGCCAGTGGTACCCAGTACCTCTTGTATATAGGTTATTGCAAATATTGTTCTGAAATGCTTAACTTCAGAATTACATTTTTTAAAGTAAATAATTGTTTTAAATCTATTTTGTAAAGATATAAAGTACAATAGAATTTCTGGAGTACAGATTAAACTATTTGCACTAACACACGTGATGTGCATGATTTAATAAAATAACTTTACTCTCCCTATGCATGTTTGAGTTGGGTGTCATTGACGTTCCTAGTGCTGGCTTTGCTACTGGATTGTTAGCAGGCTTTTCTTGAAATGGTGTTTTTCTGGATCGGACAAAACACCCAACTGTTTCCTCCAGGTTGTATTAGCCTTTTATTTCACTTACTGCTTTACTCTCCCTTCCCTCCCACATGCCCCCTTTTATGACGGTTGCTGTTAAATATGACTCACTTGCCAGACACCTCTCTTTAAATGTAAGGTCTAGTATCAATATTTACTTTATTCAAATTGGTGGGGGGGGAGAGGTTGTAGTTACTGCCAGTTTTCCTCAAGAATATAAACGAGCCTATTCAAAAGCAATACCTCTAGTTTGTTCAGTTCACTTCCAGGTTAAATAAAGAACCAGGTTTTCGTTGTTAATGACAGCGTCATTAAGAAATGTTAAGCATAACAGTTAAGAATGGAAGGACCCTGTAATGGTATGTTTAAGAAATCAGTCAGAGGTGCTGCACGGCTGGCTCCAAAAATGGGAAGAACGTGGCCTTTGAGCCTAAACAGACCCATTTTGTTGTTCTGATCCAACCTGTGCTGTAAGCAAAAGGATGCCACATTCTTCTGAGTCTGCACCTCTTCATTTGTAAAATGGGGAGTCTAACATCAGGATTTGGGGTGATACTATGAAAAATAAAAAGTTATATGCGAAGTGCCATTCAAGTAATAAATAAGAATTTGTGGCAAGGTCATACTGAAAAAAGACACTGCAGATATTAAAGTTGGGGGTGAACTCTTGCATCCATTTAAAATGGACTGACTCGATTGTGCTGAGTCTGTTGTGTGTATGGATGAGCTGTGACTGCAGAGTCATGAATGCAGTGACAGGTGCCCACTTGGTGCCTGTCCCCTTCACATTGTCTCTCTGAAAAGATTCCCACCTACTTTGGTCGCGAGCCCACAGCCGTTCTGGAGTCCTGCTGTAATTGCCTTCACCGCTGCTTGGAGTCCCGCCCGCGTGAAGACCAGCGCGCTGCAGTATAGTCAGAGGCTGCCCAGCTGGGGCGCGCCTTTAATCAACAGACCGGACTCCCAGTGGCTCCTGGGTGCGCCTAGTAAGGACCTCTGCTTTCAATGGGATGGGAATTCTACTGGAGAGGAAAGATGGCGTGTGGATCAGCTGTGTTAAAATTGGGCCTCTCTGCTCCCCAAAAAAGCACCTCTGGAATTCTAGTCTCATACCTAATTCTGTGCACAGCATCTTCCTACCAGGACATCCAGTGCGGCATTGTTGGTAACATGCCAAGTAAAGTGAAATGGATTGATACTGCCAGCCTACAGATAGATATCTGTGTTTGCCGTGCATGTGGGAAGGTAGTCTTGCTATGTTAAGTGAAAGAGGTGGCTTAGCTGTGCAGAATGAACCTGGGATAGAGGATTCACTTCCAGCAGGAGGCCTTGAAGACACTGCACCCGGGCTCCAGGAGTGCTTGTTTGTGGTTAGGGTGCACGTCAGGGAGTTCTCTTAGCCCTTCATAATCCCTGGCTGCTTTTTAGTAGAGGAACAGCAAAAGTGGCCCTCAAAAAGATGGATTGGCGCAGTGGCTGCAACAGTGGACTCAAACACAGGAGTGCTGACGAGGCCGCCGCCGCAGGACTGCGCCGTTTCATCCCATTGTGCGGTGGTTGGGTGGCTGAGATGTAACGGACGTCATGGCACCTCACAACAGCACACATTGCTTTTGTAAATTTTTAAGGGTTATTTGGTTTTGCTCTAAATGGGGGGAGAGCATGTTTTCTTCGGAACTTCAAATGGGTCCCCATCATTAAATGATTATTCAGCTGCCATGGTCATGTCAGCTGCCCTGGAGTTGGCCCTTGCCTCCCGGTGACACCAGGCAGTGATACGGAAACACTGCCCTGAGCCGTCCACTTGAGGGGTTGCAGCGCAAACTGTTGTGATCCCACAGGGTTTCATCGGCTGATTCTCAGCAGTAGATGGCTAGTTCCGTGTTGGTAATTCATCTTCGTCTGGAAGCTCTGCTGAAACCCGCTGAGCCTCACAGCAGCGCACAAGTCTCCACGGATGGGTTTCCTGCGAGGAAGGCATGAGTTCTGGTACTGAACCACCACGGCTCCAAAGACACTGTCGGAGACTGAATCAGTGCTCAAAAGTACCCACTGACAGAGGGCTCATGTTCACTTAAACTAGCAAGTTCTAGTGTGCGTGTTTAAAAATCAATTCTTTTTTTTTATTCAGTCATTTTATTAGGGACTCATACAACTCATCACAATCTATACAAAGATCAATTGTGTAAAGCACATTTGTACATTCATTGCTCTCATCCTCAAAACATTTGCTCTCCACCTAAGCCCCTGGCATCAGCTCCGCATTTTTCTGCTCCCCCCTCCCTCATGAACCCTTGATAATTTATAAATTATTATTTTGTCATGTCTTGCCCTGTCTCCCGTCTCCCTTCACCCACTTTTCTGTTGTCCATCCCGCAGGGAGGAGGCTATATGTAGATCCTTGTAATCGGTTCCCCCTTTCCACCCCACCCTCTGGGTATCGCCACTCTCACCACTGGTCCTGAAGGGATCATCTGCCCTGGATTCCCAGTGTTTCCAGTTCCTATCTGTACCAGTGTACATCTTCTGGTCTAGCTTGATTTATAAGGTAGAACTGGGGATCATGATAGTGGGGGAGGCTCGTATCCTCCCCGCGGCCCTTCCGTAAGGGGATGTACAGTTGCCTACAGATGGGCTTTGGGTCTCCACCCTGCCCTCCCCTTCATTCACAATAATATGATTTTTTGTTCTGATGATGCCTGATAACCTGATCCCTTCGACACCTTTTGATCGCACAGGCTGGTTTGCTTCTTCCATGTGAGCTTTGTTGCTTCTGAGCTAGATGGCCTCTTGCTTACCTAGAAATCAATTCTATAATTAATAAACTTGTTTTATCCATATAGAATTACAATGCTGGAAGAAGTTTTACGCAATCCCATCACATCTTTTTACCTATTCAAGAGAAGTTTTTTGTTTGTTTTGTTTTTAATAATCGTTTTATCAGGGGGCTCTGCAGTTCTCAAAACAATCCATACATCCATTGTATAACTCAAGCACATTTGTACATATGTTGCCATCTTTTTCAAATATTTCTACTTGAGCCCTTGGGATCAGCTCATTTTTTTCCTCCCTCCTCCACTCTCCCACCATCATAAATCTTTGATAAATTATAAATTATAATTTTTGTATCTTACACCATCCACTGCCTCCTGAAGGAGCCATGAGAGGAGGGCTGTGTCTCGTGTCATGTATCTGTCTAGGACAGTGCGCAAGCGTCTGGCCTAGCTGGTTCTCATGAACTGCTTCCTTACTGCAAACGGTAAGGAATTTCAGGGAGCAGCTGCAAACTGTGCTCCCTGGTAGAAAGTAAACAGGACCAGTACGGTCTGAGATACGGAACTCACTCTCAAGGCTATGAGAAATTCAAGCGTGGGAATAGCAAACTTATCTGGGAACACTGCCAGTATGTAGTACATAAGAATAAAGCACTGTGGTCCATCAAAGCTGCAGTTTGTACTGTCTGTCTGTGTCTCATGTGCTGTAGCCCTGTGTTGTCTGTGTGTGTGTGTTTGGTTCCATGTTCATTCTCCCTGCTCAAGAAACCGTGGCATCACCTCCCTTCACCTGTTTCTGTTGTTCGTCACCCTGGGGTGAGGGTCGGGGGTTATACAGCGATCATTGAGATCGGTTCCCCTTTTCTCCCCACCTCCCTACCCTCTTGGTATTACTACTACAATTATTCTTCTTGGGGGGTTTAACTCTCCTGGACTCTGTGAGACCTCTTGTACCAGTGTACATGCTCTGGTCTAGCTAGATTTTTATGGTAGAACTGGGGTCATGATAGTGTGTGTGTGTGTGTGTGGGGGGGAGCTTTAAAGAACTAGAGGAATGTATGTTTCATCATTGCTACACTGCACCCTGACTGGCTCTTCACTCCAGCGTTTTTGACTTTGGTTTGCAGTGATTCAAACTACTGTTCTTGTTCTGTTGCTTAAATCATTTTATTGGGGGCTCATACAACTCTTATCACAAGCCATACATCCACCATGTCAAGCACATTTGTACATTTGTTGCCGCCATCATTTTCAAAACATTTTCTTTCTACTTGAGCCCTTGGTATCAGCTCATTTATCCCCTCCCTCCCTCATTAACCCTTGACAATTTATAAATTGTTATTATTTTTTCTTATCCTAAGTCTTATGGGGATATTTTTCACCAAACCCCACACCACCTCTAAAAATGCTAGTGTCTAAGACCTGACCTCATTTTCTCCTACCAAATACATTTGGTGTCATTTTAAAGTAAAGTCGGCCATCCTAATTTAGTTCTTCCTGTGGCTAATAAAAGCACATTTTAGAAAACCATTAAGAATTTTTTTCAGTCTTGCAACTATGAAGAGGAAGAGCATTATTTTTGAGCTAAAATATGTGGTGTGTATGCTGTGTCCATAAAGAGCCCTCTTTATCTCTGAAGCTGTGTGAGGATCGGTATCACCAGGAGTAAGACCTTCAGAGCCTGTAATATCTATTACTGTGTGCCAAGACTTAGCAGCTTGAGCCAGCAGTCATGAATTATTCTCCGATTCTGAGGGTCGGGAATCCAGGAGAGCTTTATTTTAGCTAGTGGTCCGACTCCGGGTCCTGTGAGGTGGCCATCATCTGAAACGGCTGGACCGGTGGGCACCATTTCAAGCTGGAAGCTGATGGCCTCTCCAGGACCCCTCAGGCAGAGCTGCTGCCTTCCCCGAGAGCGAGTGCCCCAAGAGGAGGTGAGAGCACGGGAGGTGAAAGCCACCCAAGGAGCCACCATTCTTTTTGTTGCTGCTGCTGTAATCACTTCTTGTACAATTCAGTGACATCCTTCAACTTGTGTGACCCTCCTCTAAGTCATCCCTCCTACATTAACATAAACTCAGTCCCTGAGGTTCGTATCTCTCTCAGTTATTGTCATTCTGATT